AGTAAGAAATCTGAGTGTAATTATTCTATTACTGTGATTTCAAATAAGTACACCGATCTCCCTGTACCCCATTTCCTTTATCTTTAGAAGAGATATAAAAATATGCACCTTCTAGGGTTAAAATAAGGATCAAGTGAAGTAACGCATGAAAAAATAAAACCTAACAATAGCTAAATTTAGTGGTGAGAATTGTCTCTGTGCTCTTGTGTGCTTATGAAGTTGAGATTCTGCGGTCCATCCCGATCACTGACCCTGGAGTCCAGCCTTACCTTGCTTTTCCTCCCATCCTTTCTCCCCTCTCTTTCCTCTCTTCTTGGTATAATGTCAACCCTGGTCAATCCATATCTTCAATGCACAGCACTATGAGAATGGGTACTGGTGGGTGACAGGTGAATTTAAAGTCCACCCTACCCTTTGGGAAGTCAGTTAACATTTTCAAGCTTCAACCTCATATGTGAAAGAAAAGCAATGATAATACATTGTATACTTGTGAAGATTAAATTCAACAATACATGTACATGAGACTTGGCACATAGTAAGCATTTAATAAGTGGTAACTTTTAGCATTTGTAATTTGTCATAGTTAATTTTCCTACACTAAGATCTAAAATGAGTTCACAGGTGTTCATTTCAAATATGAATATATATTTTAATGTATAAGAAGTTTTAAAATCCTAATTTAATGGTCCCATTTAATGACATGTTTTAAAAACCTTCTGTCCTTTTTCTGAAGGTCTTGAAGAATCAAAAGCTCTCTAATTATACTTTTTTGCTTATTCACTGTACAGTAAAGAAATTATTAAAAGAAAATAATAATTATGGTCTTAAATCAGTTCTGAGTTTGTAAGACATGACACATGAGATGTACAAACAAATACGTAATTAAGTGTACTCAGATTCAGCTGGGAAAAACTTTTGGAGTAAGACTATATAATGATTCTAAAATTGCATTACAGAGCTGGGTGACGCAGTAACATTATTCTCAGACTCTAATAATATGGTTTCACAGATCACAGGTTTACTTCTTAGATTTAGAGCACCTCAGTCTCAACATTGATAATCAGTTTCTGACTGCAAAAGAAAAATCCACCTTCACGAGTGTATCTCAAGGCATTTAAACAATTCTCCATGGTACGCTAAGGCCTCTGTGTTATCCAGTGGGTGAAATTTTAGTAAAACAATGAAGTGTTCCACGTACTGTATTTTCTTATTACCATCCACCGTCCAACAGCTGTAAAATCACCACCAGCTGCTGGAAAAGAGAACTAAATCAGTCTGCTACAGCTGCAAGCAGAAGAGAGCTTAAAATGCCCTTGTCACATAATTCCTGGGATCTCAGCAGACTGGAGTCAAAGTACAGTCTTTCTTGCCACAAAAACCCCTAGCTTTGTAAACATGTCAAGAGCACATGAGCTATGATTTATTTTGTCCTTACCGGGGAAGAAGTGTATGTGGGAGAAGCAGCAGAGGGGACTGAGATAATAAATATACAGTAATAATAACAGCAATGGAAGAAGTGTCTGCCACACCCCAGATATGACCAGCATACTTTTCAGTCCTCACAGTAACTGCAGATGTAGATGCCATCCTTATTTTATTGTGAACTGAGGGTGGGTGACATTGAGTAACCTGGTCTGTGCCGTGATGAGTCACATTCAGGGGGTTGGACGGCAAAGCTAGGGTCCTCATCATTATATTGTTTTGCCTTCAGCAAAAGGAACAGACAAGGAAAAATTGAACTGGTGAAGGCTAAATGGAATAGATCTTTGAAGAAGGAGAAATTTGAGGGACTTGATGCTACTTTAAAAGGCACATGAGCCAGGGATTTAGCTCAGTGGTTTCGCCGCCTGCTGCACAAGTGCAAGGACCCGAGTTCGATCCCCTGTACCAAAAAACCAAAAAAACAAAACAAAACAAAAAGGCACAGGAAGCTACAAATTTGTATCTCTCTTCCTACTCCCTACTACCAAAGAGAGGAAATGACTCTAAAATCTCAGTCAAAGAAATAGATCAACTGCCATGTCCCTTAACTTCCTTAATTCACCATCATCGGCTATCAAGAATTGTAGCCCCTAGCATCAGATGTCACTTTAATAATTCCTCATCCTAGCAACAGTATTAACTGCCGATGAACTGTAATAAGAAGTGCACATTCCAAAGAGGCAACCATTTCCAAATTTAAAATTTGAAATCAGAAATGTTCCACAATCTGACACTTTTGGAAATGCCAACATGCTACAAGAGGAAAATTCCAGACCTGGTTTTTTGTGATGGGTTGTAGTCAAAATACAGACCCACTAAAAATATTGTAGAAAATTATCTTTAGCCTATGTATTTAAGGTAAATAAAGCATAAATGAATTTCGTGTTTAGACTTGGGTACCATCCTCAGGATTCCATTCATATATATCTGAAAAAATTCCCCAAACCAAAACACTTCCGGTCTCAATCACTTCAGATGAGGGATACTCAAAATGTACTAGCTCCTTATAATCCAGAAAAAGATACCAATAAAAATAAAATTGCACTTAAGCTTGGAGGGTGGAAAAATATTTGAAGCCAGAACAAGTTGCATTTCCAACCATTGGTTTGGTTAGTTTAATTGCTTATGGCTTTGCTCCTCCATTTGCTAAAGGCTTTTTTAAAAAATAGCATAGATAAAGCAAGGATTCTTGTGGAACTGGATCGATGGAAGCTCACACAGGCTTGGCCTCTAACCCTGGTTTGTGTCCCTTACCTGGTCCTTGCTCCACGTTTGGCTGGGCTGGCCTGGCTCAGGCACACGCTTAGTTATAGCATTAGGAGCTAGCATCACTGCTGCAGAAGTTGAAATCAGTATGAAAACTGAGTAGAAGTGTGTCAGAAAACTAGCATTATTTTAATAGGAAATTGCTTTCAATTTTAAAACAGCCCGAGATGCATAAGAGAATGAGGTTTTCAATCCATAGTGTCTTCTAGAGTGGAGATGTCTCATTTCTTTTCGAAATGGAAAAAGACTCACTCTACTTTCACTTGGGCATTTAGCTCCTCTTTATAGGATGATAATCTTCCTGCTGCAGAATATTGGATGAAATAATTTTATTTTAGGGCCTGTACAAAAGTCTCTAACTTTGAGTTCTTAGCATTTGTTGAATTTAATAATATGAAGAGAAACTTCTGGAATTTTTTCCCTTCAGCCTTAGAAAGCACTGGTAACTCTTTGAAAGTTTACACTCAGAGAATTTACTTTAAAAATTGCTTTTAGGGGCCGGGGATTTAGCTCAGTGGCACTGCATCTGCCTCGCAAGTGCAAGGTCCTGAGTTCGATCTCCGGTACCAAAAAAAAAATGTTCTTAAATGCATGCTCCTGAATGTTTTCTAAGGCTCTTGAGAACTCTGGTAATTTAGTCTGGTTGATCAGAGATGCTCCATTTGTCTCATACACTCCACAGATCCCTACCGAGGCCGACCTGCTGCTGTGCTACAGCAGCTCCTAGGCTGTGCCTATCCTTTTGCTCAGGAGTCTACTTTGGAGTGGTCTTTAAGGCTTGGATTGTTAAGACACAGTAGAGGAACTGAAAGACCTGTGTGCGCTTTCCTTCACTAATCCGCTACAATATAATGGCAGAAATTGAAGTCCACTCTACTTTTACACAATTCATAGTCTAAGGTGGATGTATCTCTAGCCTATCCAGGATATTTTCTATTTGGGTCATACCAGAAGCTCATTAGTCAAGAAACCAAATTATTCCTCTCTTTATTTGAAGCAGTGTTATTTCAAAGGTCCTTTGGTGATTGGAAACCAGTAGGTATAGTAGGGATTGTTGCATAACAGCAGCATTTTCTTTGACTCTGGGAGCTCCAGATTCACTTCCAGAAGTAACAGACTGCTTCTGTTTTTGGTACTCTCTGGCCACTGTCCTAGTCATTTGAGCCCCCCCAGCCTGTGCGGTTCTGCATCCCAGCTTGGCCCAACCAGCGCCCATGGCCCTGTTGGTTAAGTGGACCATGGCCCTGGTGGTCCTGTACTGTATCAGGGCTGGGAGAAAGAAGAGGTAATAGAAGGTACCTTGAGGAAAGGCAGGAAGGATGCTCAGGTCTTTCTAAATTATTTCTTTTTGGTTTTGCTTTGCTTTGCTCAGAAATACCAGAGCCACACAGAAAATGAAAGAATTAGAGCACTCTCCTACTTCTCATCTCTTTGCCTCATCCCCATCCATAGCTCTGGTTGAGTCCCAACAAGGTGCCTGCTGTCTGAGCCACCGGATTTCTTTTTTGGAAGATGGTGAAATGAGGACAAATAAACAGTGACACTAATATTTCATCATCTGCTTATTCCTGGGTCACTATCAGTTGATCAAACACCTGCTGAGCACCTACTTTTTGGCTCAGATAACACACTTTGTCCTGAGGATACAAAGATCATACAGTTCTTGTCCTCAGGGAGTTAATGATATCCTGAGGGATGCGGACAAGTAAACATTCAGAGGCAAGCACAAGGAGATAGATGTGTGAACATAGAAGGAGGGGTTAAGAGTGCCTTAGGTGAAGGGGTGGGGCTGGGCTGCTCTTCACAGAGAATTATTATTCATTCTACTGGCTGGACAGCAAAGATACCAGGCATTACATTGCAGTTCTTGTTTTCCTTACTTTAAAATCTACTCAACAATGGTTCCCATTTAGTATCAAAGCTGGCTTCTGTGTGATAACACCACTAATATGATTATGCCTACCTCTCACTACTGCTCACTTTACACTTCATATCTGAAGGTCATGGTAATAAAAATTGGCATGGGTGTTTTCCAAGGAATCTCCTTATCAGCCTTGACTCTAATTGTAAAACTGAAGATTAAAAACCAAGTTGACAGGTACTTTATAGGATGGGTATGGAGTGGGAAGACTGCACCAGTAGAGAAAGAAATCAGAAATATATCAGACATATACCAACTCTCAAGGAACCAGTTTCAAAGCTGAAGCTAGCTTATGCTTTGTTCTCCTTGGAGGAGGATTTCTTTTACCTACCACATGGGATGCTCCTGGGGCCTTGATGGGCCTGAAGCCATCAACAGGCACACACTGATCAGCGTGGCCATTGCAGAAGCAGCTGCCCTTGACAATGAAATCATAGATTGCGTAGTGTGTAAAATGTTGAGGCTTCGTGGTCAGGTCATTTCTCTGGCAGGGACAAGACTGTCGTTTTAGCAGCTGCACGCGGAGGTTGGTGATCTTCAGCTGCTCCTGAACTTTGGCACTGTAAGGGTTTTCTGCATTGTACGGTGGTGACAAAGCTCGGAAAATAACCTGTAAAGAGAGAAAAAAAAATGCCATTTGTGTACAGGACTGTGTGCAAACCCTGAATTTGTTTGCCCAGTGCAGTTCCAGTTTGATTTATGCCTTTTGTTATCTGTGAGTGATAACACGAGAGGCTTAGACCTTGATCACATCTGGGGAAGAGCTGCCATTATTCTGAGGAATAGATGTGCTGCCTGTTTGGATATAGAAGACATGTACTTCGGGCAACCAGAGGAGACTTGGCTCTTGGGACAAAGACAGCCAGCGGAGGTCCTAGGGGAAGGAACAGCAAGGTTAGAGGCCCTGCTGCAGAGTCAGGCTCCACTTGTTTCTGGAAGAACAAGAGGGTCAGATCAACTGGAAACTCAGGTACAGGGAAGAGTGGCCGGGAGAGAGACAGGAAACAGGTGCAGAAAGACAAGGCTGTGGTTGAGTTACTCGACTGTAGTGGAAGCCATTGGGGGCAGTGAGCAGAGAAGCAATCTGATCGGGTTGTTACATCTTCAAAAAGTTTCTTGTTACAGTTCTGCATGGAGCGAGGCCTATACTTTTATACAAGGTGAAGAATAAGGGCAGGGGATGTAGGCAGAATATGTGCTTAGCATGCATGAAGCCCTGGTTCGATCCCCAGCACCTGAATATATAAATAAATGGCAAAGACTATAAACAGGAATACCAGTTAGGAAGCAATTGCACAATCAATATTCAGGAATTTATATTTCTGAATGAAGTTTGCCCCTTTCAAAGACCAGTCAGTTATTAACTGGAGCTACAATTGCTACAAATGTCTTTTGGTTCTTTTCTGGAACTGCCTTCCAAGCTTGTACACATTTTTGGAATAGCCTTAATGGTAGTGACTGTATTTCCCTTGAGGGTGAACTTGATTTCTGAAATTAGTCAAAAACCACTTATAACCGAGTATAGGGAGAAAAGCAGTGGATCAAGTTAGTTAACAGCACTTGATTAATGCAAGGTGTCTTTTTATTGTGTAGGTTATAGATAGGCTCTAAAGGAAACTTTAACACTTTAGTTCAGAGGAGGAACTAGAGGGAGGAAAGCTTAGAAGGGACGGATATTTGCTACTGGGAAGACTTTGGGCATGTGTATGGGTTTGTGTGTCAATGAGGGTCACAAGAGGGCCCTGAGGTGGACCTGCTACCTGGGGCAGCAATGGTTGGTGGAAGGGGAAATCACTGCCAGTGGGAACCAAGGAATATAAAAAAGAAATCTAAAATATACTGTCACACGAAACAGTATTACAAGAAGGCCAACACTATGTTATACTTTATTATGCAGTCTTTTTAAAAAGACAAAAGATAAAAACATATATATGAGAAAATTCCCCTGAAAAATGCTTAAGCATGTTTTGCTTAAAGAAACATTTTGATAACTGAGTAGTATGAAAGTAATTATCAAAAAGCAGGCTTTGGAAAAACTCCCCTTTAGGGAGGAGGTATCCAACAGTGACTTTCCAGGAAATAAAAACAAAGGAATACCTTAAGGAATACCTTGGATATGAAATTTTCATTTTAAAAATCAATTTTTACATCAAAAGTATGAAAAAGCAAGAGCCAACTGTGTAGGATCATACCATACTATACTGGTACAAAACTGTTCTCAATGAAATACGACATTGGGGAGGGAGAATAATTCAATTTAGGCTTGACCTTTATACAGTAGCCAGAATGATTCTCTATAAACAGAGTTGGATTACTTCAGTTCTTTGCTTAACCTATGAGACAGTTAAGTTGGACTGTCAACTTACCTAGCCTGGGAGTTAGGCAGGTGGTTAGTAAAGCATACTTGTGAGTTATGTCTGGAAGGGTCATGGAGGTGTGATCTTTGGAACCGTATAGGGCTTCTGGCTCCTTCCTCTCTGGCACTATTCCCCTCTTCTGGTTCCTGGCCAGCATGAATGAAACAGCTTTGTTCTGCTACACCCTTGTACCATGATGTTTCTACCTTGGAGCCGGCCAACTATGGACTGAACTTCCTGCAACCATGAGCCAAATTAAACCTCTCTTCCTTTAAGTTATGGATGTTGGGTATTGTATCCCAGTGATGGAAAAGCTGATGAATACAATCCCCTATTCCTGCCAAAAACCTCTCCTTTCCTTCAGGATAAAGTACAAAATCTTTATGATGGCCCTGCTTGCCTTTTGTTCCTGGTACCTATTAGCACTGGACATTATATTTGTAGTTGTATCTTCCTTTACTGTCTTCCCAGTATAGAAGGCAAATTTCTCAAGGGAAATCACTGATGTGTCCCAGGACAGTGCATGGGGCATAGTAGGTCTTTAATAATTTTTTGGTAAATGACATAATTAATTATTAAATTGTTCTTGGCACTTCCATAATAGGTGAACATTCCAAATAATTTCCTTATAGAATCCTAAACAGATTCACAAACTGAATTTCATGTTATAGCATTAGAAGGTAAGAGGCAAGTCTTTGTATTATAATAATAGTAATAAATAACTAAATGCCTATGTAGTATATGCATTTGTAGCTGTTTTTAAACTTGCCAAACTTAGAAAAATATTATACCTTAAATAATATTCGGCCCCATTTATCCACATGTAAAGTGGTCAAAAGCAATGTATTAGAGAATAAAATTCTCCCACAAATAATATGTCACATATTTGAGAGTCAATGTAGAAGAAATTTAAAAGCAGAAATCAGAAATGAGAACATAAGTTTCATATTTTGAAACACTAAAAACAAAAACAACTTCTCCAAGACCCAAAACCCAGTGCCCCCCCCAAACAAAACAAAACATGGAGTCCATTGAAAATATGTCATCCCAAACACTAGCATTAGATGTACACGAAGAACTCTTGTTCGAAAAAATATAAATCATGTGGCTACCCCCTATTTTATCAGCTGCGGTGATACAGAGACATGGAAAAGAGTCAGCCAGTGGTAACTAAATAAGGATCCCACCGAAAAGGTCTACGGCACACTTCTCTGCTGTCTGCCCACCCTTCCTTTTCCTGAACATCGCCGGCAGCTGTTTGCTCGCCTTGTTCCTGCCACTTACTTTCCCTTGACATCTACCATAGCTCCCCAGCCCTCCCCACCCTGAGCCATCCAGCACACCCAGAGTTCGAGAAAGATCTGTCAAGGTTTGGGGAAACTCAGCAGCTCTTTGGCTTCCTGAACCCAGCCTGTGATGGCTGAATGGTGGCTCTGTGCTTGGTGTGCATGACACACAGTTGGCACGCAGATATCAGCAGGGAGGGACAGCATGACCCCTGAGGCTGCAGGCTGGAAAGGAGACAGCAGAGTGCTGCAGACACAAAAGTGAACGGGAATTTAAACCATGAAATCTGTTTCCCAGAGAGGAGACGCCTTAATCTGATACCCTGGGAAGTGGATCCAGCCTGCATCAGGAAACAAAGAAGCCACCAATCCACATGCTTCCAAACCTGGCAGGTCGCCTTTTGGATCCCACCCAGGTTTTCCTCACTCGTCCCCAGAAGGAGCCTGTGCAGGGCTAACGAAACGATGTAAGACAGAAAGCCTCTGCACAACATCAGCCCTTCCTGAGTTTTGTCCCTACGGGGAACTGGATGTATCTATGGGTCCATCATTTCTCTGTCCCGTATTGCTTCCCAGTGAACGAACTCGGGACCTTGTGCTTGCAAGGCAAGCGGCAGAACCAGTGAGCTAAATCCCTAGCCCTAATGGATATATTTTAAAAAGCCAGAGATCAAGTTTTTTGCCTAGGATCATGCATACTTTGATATTTGGATATTTCTGTCATGTTGGTGTTATTGGCCAGTACTTCATTTCCTTAAATGAAGTAATTTTACTATGACTAGGGGTAATAGTCGGCTCACTACAGAAAAATCTCTTATTTAATATGCAGAAGATAGGGCTGGGGATTTAGCTCAGTGGTTCCGCCGCCTGCCTCGCAAGTGCAAGGACCCGAGTTCGATCTCCGGTACCAAAAACAAAACAAAATAAAACAAAGCAAATAAACTGTAGAAAACAGTAAGTACCTACAATGTGAGCCACCCCAAAGACAATTAGGGATATGAGCTCCATAAGATCTTTCTAACTAAACTTCTGTTGTACATACACATATAAAATATAAGGTCAACAGCTTTGTATACCTTGTGTATATTCTTCCAAGTCACTAAATATAAGAGGTTCTCAAAGTGTCGCTCCCAGATCAATGGCATCCCTAGGGAACACGTGAGAAATGTAAGCTCTTGGGCCCTATCCCGGAAGAACTAAAGGGGAAGCTCTTCAGGTCTGACCCCCAAATATTTGGTTCAACCAGCCCTCCAGCTGATTCTGATCTACCGTGAAATCTGAGAAACACTGCTACATAACTTAAGAACCCGCTTGGAATTCCACCATATGGAGATGTCATTTACTTAGCCTAGACAACTAGGTTGTTTTCAACTTTTCGGTGTAACCAACCACAATGAACAGCTCTGTAGCTAAAGTGTGGACGTGGATCATAACTTCCTAAAGACACATTTCTAAATGTGAAGTTAGTGGATCAAATAAAATGCATCATTTAAAAAATATCTGACCTTCTGAATGAATCATGGATACTTTCCTACCTAACCTGTGGTGCCTTCCCATTTCCCTGGTTTGTCTGACTTTTCTGAGCCTGGGATCCCTGAAACTTTGCCCGAGGATCTGGATTCTCGCTTAGGCTCTGCCGTTTCTTGTGCCCTGGTGGAAGCAAGCAGGGCTTACAAGTGCTACACACCAGAAAACCACTGATTGCGTCTTTCTTTTCTAGACTTTTCACAAGAAAAATTCATTAACACTGAGAATTATTAAAAACGACATTCTATGTATTATTTGGAAATTCAGCAAGAATCACAATGTGAATAGAATAAGGAGTAAATATTAGGTACACAACCATCAAAGAGTTCTTTAAGAATCATACTCATACCTTACTTATTGCTCCATACCTAACATTTCACTGCCTATGTTGAATAATAATAATTCAAGAAATAATGGACATTTATCAAGATAGACCATAT